GGGCGGGTGGGTGGGTGGGCGGGTGGGTGGGTGGGCGGGCTATATATATATATATATATATATATAAAAAAAACACACACATTACATGCATGTATGCATAGTTTGTCTTCAGAAAAAACAACACATATATATATATATATAAATATACATATATATATATATACCCGTGCGTATCATTTGCATACACCGGCGCTGCAAGACAATGTGGGGTTTGGCTGGCACTTGGATGCCATTGGTAAATCATGCTGCATCTGGTTGGCAAATGCCCAGGTCCTCAGCTTTTGCCCAATGATCGGTTCGAATGCGCGGTTCGGCCAAGAAGTTGCTTAACGCCCCAGCTGGTGGGCTTGTGATGCATCCGACAGAAGAAAAGCATCCTGATTTCAAGTGATACAGACTAGGCCACGTGTTCAAAAGCGGCCAGGAGACCTGCAACAAGCTGAACGTGGCTTCGCAGGTGCTGTGAGCTGGGTTTCCCTGCAACATGGCCAGGATAGCATCCAACATTGATGAAATCCTTTGCCATGTCAAAGCTCAAGAATGGTTCTTCAACAAACATTTGAAAGGAAACCGCTTGTTTGGATGTGTCCCCATTGGCACATGAACATATTTGTTTCGGTTCAATTGCCGGGTAAGAGGGGCGAGCACCCATATCAAAGCTGTCCCAAGATTAGTAGATTCGAGCAGCAGAGCTACAGCGGTCAGAAATGTGGTACTGTACGAATGCATGGAAAGTGAATGTTCCTTGGTTGTCAACCTGGATCATGCAACTTTAATACTGGATACACAAAACACACTATTCGATACACAAAACACACTATTTCCACCACAAGGACAAACCGGTCTGCGTTATCCCAGTGCATGCTTCAGGGAGTCCGTTTCGGTAGCCGGCTCGCGCTGAATGAATGGGGAGCCTGCTACGGGGCAAGGCAGAGCTCGGTTTGTGCAAGAAACAAAGTTGCGGAGAGTCGTTTTGCCGATTGTAACAGGAGCAATACTTAGTCATCGTCCCAAAGCTGCTGACTTGTTGTGATTGCCTGACACTGGGCGACAGCTGAATGCACATCCCGTCAAGGACTACCCGCTATTCCTGAGGCCATGTTTTGTTCATGTCCAGCAATGCCATGAAGAATCGCTGCAGCTCGGGACTTGCACGGTTTGAGGTTCAATCTCTTTCAGTCCTTACATTGACATGACGGTTGTGGGCATGAACCAGTCACCAGCACGTTCTCAGAGCACATTGAAATTGTTCACGTTTTGCCTCACTTCACTTCCGGAACTGCGCATGATGACGGAGCATGTCTAGCACAAGACAGTTCGGTCAAGGCAATTTTCCATTTGTAGCGATGAAGCTACGGATGTCTCAAAGGTCTATCTCCAGTTGTAGTGCTGCCAGAGTTTCTTGAATTCGCCGCCAGCTTGCAGTTGGAATACTTGGTGCAGACATATAGGGCCCCTATAGTGGCCTAGCAGCTTGTTCATGGACGCCAGTTAGTCATGGTCAAGGGTTGGCAGTTCAAGCAGAACCCTCAAAACTGAAGGCTTTGACAATTTGACTCTCAACGCCCATTTGGTGCTGCCCCTCGGCCTGCCCATTGAAGTTCTTTGCCAGGAAGCAGACGCGTGGATCCCAAAGTCCCTCATTGCAACAACCCCGCCCATTTGTTTTACCTTGTTGGCTTAAAACTTTCAATCATCCAGGAATCCCAGTTTTATCATGCACGGAGCGCTTCAGCATGGGCCACTCAGGTTTGCACGCCCCAATCCTTAGCTTCAGCCATAGGTTCCTGCTGACAAAACAAAACACAAAAACACACACGCACGCACACACCCTGCCGACGCCAATGCTCCAAATCGCCCGGGATGTCGCACTGGGCTCCTGGCCTCGACTGCGGCGCGAGTCGCAAGCTGCTGTGCTTGATTTGTTTCATAGCCAGAACAAGGATTCCTTGCGCAGCAACTCTCCGCAGATATCTGGCAATCTGTTTCATCTTCCACTGGCTTTTCGAGGCGGTCCATCTTTGGAATCAACCATATGTTTTGCGCGAAGCCGGCGGCATGATGAGACACCCTTTCCGACAACTCAAACATGGGAGAAGCTCTACATTTTGCAGACTCGATCGCCTCATTTTGTTTCGACACTTTAATCGCACACGGGCTTTTGAAAAGTTCCCTCAGTCGCGGTAGGTGAACACTATGCACTTTTCCAATACGCAAAGAGGGCAGCTTGAACTCGATCTCGTTGCTTTTACCAGAAATGGGACCTGTAGGACACTCCTTCCCGTGCCTGCCGAGCAAAAAGGCCCCATTCCCTCAATTGAAAGCAGTCTCGCCTCGCCATTCAATCAATAAGTTCGCCGTTCTCCCGCGGAAGCAAACCCGCTGCAAGCAGGATCTGAGGGGGCAAGTTCATACTTTCGTTTTGGGGATCATGTCAACAGGTCACTTTTCCAACATAGGTCGAGCTTGAGGTGCTTCGCACAGTGCCACGACTTTGAAAGAAGATACTCTGGGTGACGCCCGTTTGCCAGTTTCACAGCTTGGCAGGCAATGGAAGTTCAGCCATCCAGTGTGGTACTTGGTGGCCGCAGCACGTCCCCCCAAAGGGTCAAGAATGGCTGTTACAGAACTGCTTCGTTGGGTGGGGGAGAAGGAAAGGACAGTCGGCGAGTTTTCCGCAGGGCGCGGTGTGCGGAACTTTGGAGACGAGCGCCTGTACCAGGCTTTTGGGGGGCGGGGAAGGGCAGGATGAGTTGAGTGTGAGGTTTGAGGGCAGGAGGAGTTTTTCTCCCCATTCCTGCATGTTCATTTCTCGTCCCGAAACGCGGGGGACATTGGTTTTCGGTTTTGAGGCTGAAGCTGCAGGAAGAACCAACAGTTTTTTGGGCCCCTTTCCAAGCTCCAGTGTGCCGTGGGCCACTGCAAGCTCCAGTGTGCCGTGGGCCACGACTGGGCCCTTCGAGTCTTGACCATGTGCTTACGGGTCACCATCCTCGGGCCTGTTGATCTTTGCAAGCTGAAATACCACGGGGCGGTGATGATTGATAAACGACTGCGCTTTAGTGCAACTCCAGAATTCTTCGTCTCGACCAGCGCTGGTCTTGCCGGAACTTTAGCCAAGAAAGATCTTTCGGAAGCTTTTGGATTTTCCACGGCGCCTGCCGAAGTGATGTTTTTTCTTCTTCCCTTTTTGTTTGCGAGGCTCAAACGGCGTTTTTCCATGGCTCCATAAACATTTCCGGGCTTCAAGGCTGTGCTCAAGGACTACTCCTCTCAGCTCCTTGCGTCGGTGGGCGCCTTGGTTCCGCGGAATCAACTGAATCGGATGAGCTGCTTGTAGGCGGCCGTGGGGTTTTCAAGCACCGCAACTAATCCCAGCCGCGGCAAAAACACGTGACCTGCCTGGTTTTCAGCTGAGGCCTTTGCGAGTCTTCGTCGCGAAGGGGTCAAATGAAAGACCGGCAAAACTACATCATCAATGGCAACAGAATGGTCATGATTCAGCTACTCTAGCGCAGCTTCTCGAGCTCTTGCAACAACACCGGTGTCATAGCACCTCGACTGCGGCGCCACATGAATTGAGAGACCATGGTCATGTTGTCTGGGTTTTCTGCGCTCAACTCACCTCTGCCTACCTTGCATGGACATGCTTTGGGAATGAATTCCCTGCTTTGTCCTGCCTGGAATCTTGAAAACAATCAGACGCGAAAGACGAGCGTAGTGCGCGGCAGTCCTTGGCTCCTGCATCAGCTGCCTGAGCAGCCGCAGAGTAGCCCAAGAAGAGGGGTGCCGGTTGACGAGATCTATCAGTCGATCGTGTCTTGATACCGAGTGACATCAAATCGACGAGGGGTTCGGGAGCGGAGGCATGCGTGGGTCGCATGTTTGCCACTTGACCCACACTGCCATCCCTGGAACCATTCTCTCTCCCCCCCCTCTCACCTCTCAGGAACCCCCCCCCCTTAGAAACCAGAAACCCCCCCAAGCGGAGGCAGCCTGCTCCAAAATGTGCATTCTGAAACACGGCCATCAACGAGCTGCATTCCAACTACTTTGCCCTTCAAATCTTGTGATTTGAATGAGACCTTGCTGAATGGTTAAGGTGTGGGGACGGCATATTGGTGTGTGTGTGTGAGTGTCTGTGTGCGTGTGCTGGCTGGCTGGCTCGCTCGCTTGCTTGCTTGCTTGATTGCTTGGCTTGCTCGGCTTGCTCGGCTTGCTTTGCTTGCTTTGCGTTGCTTGCCTTGCGTTGCTGTGCTTTGCTTTGCCTTGATTGTCTTTTCCTTGCCTTGATTGTCTTTTCTTTGCTTTGCTTGGCTTCCTTGCTGACGCAATTGCTTGGACCAGCCGGCGTATCTTGTCGCGTTTGCTCCTACATACCTGTTCATTGGACCTTTCTTGTAAATGCTGAAAAGTTCGTGGTTCCGTAGTCGAACTTCATTCCTGTGTTTTTGGGATGGCTTTCAAGTTTACCCTGTAATACATTGTATTTGCAGCAATATAGCGCTAATTCAATCTCTCCGATCGTTGAGACATATTGCAGGTGTTGATGCTGGGTTTTGAGAGGGTTGGTATGCACTCCGTCAACGATGGAGCTTTGTTTTTACTCAGAGTTGTCGCGCATGTCAACATCAAGGGTCCTGGTTGGAAGATGATGCCTGGTTGGTGGCTTGTTTAGGTGCATCGCATCGAGTCCTTCCAGAAATCTGAGGACAAAGCAGCGAGCCCTCCTCAGAGATGGCGTGAGTCGGCCATGGTGTCGTTCCGCGAGTAGGGTTGGAAAGCCGAGGTTCAAGTTTGGAATGCCAGACCACCAAGCAATCGCAGGAAGCGTCTGATTTTTTTCAGCAGGCTTGGGTTGGCTTCTATGAACAGAACAGTGGTGGACTCATGTCAAGCTGGTTTGATTGCGGCCAATCTCGGTGTTGGTGCGGGGACTGCTGTTTCTTCAAGGAAGAGGGGACCATCTTAAAGTCAATTCTAAGGTGCTCCCGCTGTGCAGGCAGGGTTACTCGACGCAACCACTTGGACAAGCAACGAGTTGCTAAATGTTGTGCAGTACTGGCGCAGTGCTCGGATGTTCGGATGAATCAGTAAGCTGGTGGTCACCCTTGTGATGTCCCTTTGTGTCAGATCTACTTTGGGGAGTTTTTACTGGCGTTTTCACCATGCTCGTGCGTAGCAATCACCCACCAGGCCCAATGTTGCAGCTCAGCAAACCTGAGCGAAGACCGCGCCTTGGACATGTTCACATGTTCTGTCTTGGTTGGGATAACAGGCCGAGGCTTGCAGTGCTTTGTGGTCACGATTGAACATGGCCGTTGCTTTCTCGTGTTGCTCAAATCGTTGGTTAAGTGCGCCACGCTGGGCAAGAAACAATTTCCGTTCTTGCGCGGTGAGTTTTGCTGGGTTGCAAGCAGCTTTGTTCACAATCACTCTCTTGGCAAGCTTCTGTTCACCCCACTCTCTTGGCAAGCCAGGAATAGACAGTGTCCACACTCAGCTCTCGATCCGATCGATTGCGCTCCTTCGCCGATCCCTTTCCAGCTCTCAGGAGGCGCGCTTCCGTTCTTTGCAACTCGTGCCATGGCGAAGCCTCCTGCTCCTTTTGTGCTTCCACCTTCCAAGTTCTGGCCATTTACAGAGCGCCCTGGCAGATTGAGCCGGAAACATGGAGATCGATCTCGAAGAGAGGTCACCTGTTGGCCACCCTTTAAAGGTCCTTCGGCTGGAAAGAATAGGAAGATAGGACCAGGCATGCTGGTTGAAGGTCAACCGAGACGGAATCTTGGGCCGCGTAGTGCTTAGAAGGCCGTGGTGTTTTATGCATGACTGTCTGAACTTCTGTGTTTCCTGTAGGCGAAACAACTCTTCCTTTTGACCTTGCGGAGCTGGACAAGCCACTACTTGGTTTTGAGAAAGCACGTCGTTGCCTGCAAGCGCCCACTCCCCGCAAATGTTAGTTCAGAGTGCTGCAAACATGATTGCCGTGTTTTTAAAGGCCCTCTTGGATGCACCTTGTTTGTCGGTGTGCGCACGTTTGTTTGTCTGTTTGTGATGCACACGTGCTTAAGCACCCAAACCACAGGTGTTTACCTGCGTTGCACACATGACATGTGTGTTCGTGCGCACAACACGGCCTTCTAAGGGCCCTGGTCCAGCCACTAGTGCCCCCGTGGTGTAGCAAAAGCTGGGTCTGCCATTCTTGAGGGTTCTCGTGTTTGGGGATGTCAACGAGAATCACATCCAGCCGTTTTGGCTTTCAACATTTTGAGACCAGCCCATTCGCTTGGAAGCATTTGCACAGTTTTGGGGATAGACACGTCACGCCCCGCACCTGATTTCATTGGGGTTTTCACTGGACAGGGATGCAACATGATTTTCCCGAAAGCATGGCGAAGGGTTCTTCCGCTGGGTTCACTTGAGTTGTTCTCATGAGAGTCATTGCACGGAGTCATTGCAAGGAATCATCATCATGAAAGTCATTGCAAGGTGTCATTGCAAGGAATCATCATCATGAAAGTCATTGCAAGTCATTGCAAGTTGCAAGGAGCCAAGTACATGGAGTCAAGTGCAAGTTGCAAGTGCGCGGAGTTAAGTACAAGTTGCAAGTTGCAAGTGCATGGAGCCAAGTGCAACTTGCAAGTGCATGGAGTCAAGTGCAAGTTGCAAGTGCAAGGAGTCAAGCGCAAGTTGCAAGTGCAAGGAGTCAAGTGCAATTCTCTTCTTAGGGCGGCGGGGTAGTGCCGCCGACACTACGAAAATCGACCCTCTGCGGGGATTGGCGTGGTCGAGGTGCAAAAACTCGAGGTTTTTTGCGATTTTGTTTTGGCCCGCGCGGCCCTTTGCGAGGATCGGCGCGGTCGAGGTACAAAAACTCGTGGTTTTTTGCGATTTTGTTTGGGTCCGCGCGACCCTCTGCGGGGATCGGCGTGGTCGAGGTGCAAAAACTCGAGTTTGTTTTTGCGATTTTGTTTTGGCTCGCGCGGCCCTCTGCGGGGATCGGCGTGGTCGGGGTGCAAAAACTCGAGGCTCTTTGCGATTTGATTTGGGCCCGCGCGACCCTCTGCGGTGACCGGCGTGGTCGAGGTGCAAAAACTCGAGTTTGTTTTTGCGATTTTGTTTTGGCTCGCGCGGCCCTCTGCGGGGATCGGCGTGGTCGGGGTGCAAAAACTCGAGGTTTCTTGCGATTTTGTTTGGGCCCGCGCGACCCTCTGCGGGGATCGGCGTGGTCGAGGTGCAAAAACTCAAGGTTTTTTGCGACTTTTGTCGTTCGAACTGGTCCTCGGGGGTTGTCTCGTGGTTCGCGCGCCTGCTCCCGGGAGGTCGCGGGTTCGATTCGCCCCTGGTCCGCGGGCGGGCTTCGCAAGCTATGCAAGTTGCGCAGACCAGTTTGCGCAGAGCAACTTGCGCAGAGCAACTTGCGCAGAGCAACTTGCACAGATCAGTTTGCGCAGAGCAACTTGCGCGGAGCAACTTGCGCGGAGCAACTTACGCAGAGCAACTTGCCCAGAGCAACTTGCACAGAGCAGCTTGCGCAGAGCAACTTGCAGGGAGCCACTTGCACGGAGAAACTTGCGCGGAGCAACTTGCACAGACCAGCTTGCGCAGAGCAACTTGCGCAGAGCAACTTGCGCAGACCAACTTGCACAGACCAGTTTGCGCAGAGCACCTTGCCCAGAGCAACTTGCACAAAGCAACAGAGCAACTTGCACAGAGCAACTTGCACAGAGCAGCGTGCACAGAGCAACTTGCAGGGAGCAACTTTGCACGGAGCAACTTGCACGGAGCAACTTGCACAGAGCAACTTGCACAGAACAACTTGCGCAGAGCAACTTGCGCAGAGCAACTTGCACAGACCAGTTTGCGCAAAGCACCTTGCCGCTTGCCCAGAGCAACTTGCGCAGAATGGTCACGGGGCTGTGATGCTTTTGGGCCAAACGTGGTCTAGTTTACTTTTTCGCCAACAGCTGAAAGCTTTGGGGTCTCAGCCCAGATAGGCTCCGGGGTGGTCCGGGCGGCTTTGTGGTAAGGTTCCACGAGATTTCCACCAGGGTTGGAGATTCTGCGAGGGCTGCGGGGTGGTGCTAGCACTAAAAAGAGCACCGCGTGCTGAGGGGGATATCACCTGAGCTTATTTTCTTCTTTTTCCCCGCCCGCCCGCACCGCGCCCGCACCCGCGCCCGCGCCCGCACCCGCAGCGCACGCGCACGCGCACGCGCAGGCGCACGCGCACTCGCACGCGCACGCGCGCACGCACGCGGACGCGCACGCGCACGCGCGCACGCGCACGCGCATCACGCACACCCACACCCACACCCGCACCCACACCCACATCCACACACCCACACACCCACACACCCACACACCCACACACCCACACACCCACACACACACACGCACACGCACACACACACACAGACACAGACACACACACCCACACACACATTTTTTAAACAAAGGGTACCCTCAGCTCAAGGATATAGTGGTCAACTGACCTCACCATGATCAAATACTAGCCCATCATAAGGCTTGATCTGCTGATCATTCCCGCACCATATCAGGCAAACGTGGCTGCAGTGTAGTGCAGGCAAAGGAAGTTCTTTCAAGAATCTGTGCATGATTCTGGACAGCGGAGAACTCTGCCTACGGGCACACTATGTTGGACTCTTTTCTCAGGTCAGTTTCGTAAACAGGCAATGGCGCTGGCTCGGAATTTGGCCCTGGAATTTCAGGTCACATAGCACCCGCTCACATGCTTGTCCGGTTCGATGGTTCGATGCTCACCGGTGCACTGGAAATGTCTGACATGGATTGGTGCTTTGCGGCTAAGGGAACTTTTGGGGTCTGGTGGAATCAGTGTGTCAGGAAGTGGTTGGACATGGTTTGGTCAATGGTGCACAGGATTCTCCGCACCGGGAGGGGGAATTTGTTGGTAACGGCGGGCAGTGCATCTCGGGCCAGTTGAGGGAAGAGTTTACAATATCACGCGCGCGCAACTGTGCAAACTTAATTGTAAACACTTCGCGCTGCCTGCCTCGGCCAGGGGCTATCTAGAGGCTTCCTTTGATCTCCGTTCTTACTCCACGGCCAGGCGTTTTGCAAGAAGTGGCAATCATGCCTGCCACGCGTGAAAGTATCAGCTGCGTGAAAGCTTCCGCTTCAGGGCAACGGCGGCGAAGCGACTTTGTCGGAAGCGTGACCGGACGTGCCATTTTCAGACCGACGGAACTGAACCGCCGCTCTGTCCAACAAGCAGTTGGTGACGTTACTCGCCCTTTTAGGATCTTCATCCCTATACCTATAGGCTCAGGCTCCCACTTCCCGGCGCGGAGAACCAAAGGACAGCCGCGGCTGCAGTCCAAGGGCAAGGGGCTGGGGGTGGGGGTCTGACCCCAAGGGGGTGGATCAATTTCAGACCACAGAAACATTGGGGTTTAAATCTCCATTGGAGAGAGGATTTTGGGACTGTTTGGGAAGATCTGTAAAATCCAAAGAGGACCACTTCCCGGCACCAATCGTAGCCCTTGGAGCCTTAAAAGCGCATGCAAAGGAGGAAGGAGAGATATTCAGTAGTCCGGGTGTTTAGGGAGGGAAAACTTGTGTTATCCTGTTCACTGTTGCGCTCAGGGTCGCCGCCCAAGCGCGTGCAACTTGGTCTGAGTCGGGCCCTTGGTCTGCGCTGCGCTCCAATCTGGTTGCCGATAATTGAGGTTGCTTGG